TACCTATAGAAATAACCCTGATTAGTATGTATGAACCTGTGACTAAATGGGCTTGAGAAACTGCTACCATTGGCTGGGTATTAAAATATTATTTTCACAGTGCATTCTGTTAACTTTGAAGGAATATGTGGACATCCTTACAATGAAAATAAGAAATTAGTTGTGTGTGTTCCTTGATTTTTGCCAACCGGAGCATCAGTTTGGAGTGTTGCAGTGTATATTTCCTTCTATCAGTGACCTGGTTTGACTAGCAGTTTTTTGGATAGAGCACAGTGGCAATTCTTGTCGTAAAATTATGACTATTGAGCAGAGTGTAATTGACTAAGTTTATGAGGAACACGGAGTTGTGCAAAGAAAATTGGTGACTTATTAACTGGGTATTCTGCTTTCAGAGGCATGTGATGTACTTCTTCTGTAACTTAATAAGATGTTTTTTGACACAGTAGGATCCTCTTGATTTCTTCCTCCCTAAATTAATTTTTATTTTGCACCTAGGGTTTGGGATCAGATTCTTGCGAGGACAGCAACAGCAGCCGGCCAGCGTTTGTATTCACAGAGTTCATGAACGCGCTTCTTCTGTAACTTAATAAGATGTTTTTTGACACTGTATTCACAGAGTTCATGAACGCTGCAGGTATGCTCATCCTCCCCCATCTCTCTTTCCATCTATCTCTTCATCTACCTTTCCTCTCTCTCTCAACTAGGTGCTTCTGCTTGAATCTCTTCAGTGGGGTTTCCAGCGCAGCGACAACATGACGACTAAGTTCAACAGCCTCATATCACACTGCATCAGGTGATTCCCTCTCAATTCTGATGTATAAATCTCTTTAGGGTGAACCATTCATGGTTTTTATGGGCGGTTGCTACTATAATGCCGAGCTGATCAAGTGGTGCAAGATTATGACCCAACTAATTAGGCGGTAGTTCTCTGCGGCATCTCACATCGGTTATCTTGCATTTTTTATCTCACAGAAATTGATTGCCCAAATTTCTTGACTTCTTTCTGCAATTGGGGTAACTTTTTTCTTCAAATCCTTGCAGAAGTTAGCCGCGTAATATGGTCGCCGGATGGAAGTACAAGTTCGCACTTACAAAAGTAAAGTACATTTTTAGCGCCACTGTTGTTTCTTGCTTCACTATGTTGTTCCAGGCGGTTCTTGATGGTACGTGCTCTTGTCTGATTTGTAAAAGTGATGTTTGAAAGAGCAAATGGTTTTGGTTTTGTTATTACAAGCAAAACAAACAATAAGAAGTATATTATTTGATTATTGAGTCAATGCATTTGCCATACATTTGTAGGTATTTTCTTGCATCCTCTCTTTTCTCCAGGAATGTTGTGTAGTTTATTGATGCGCCTACATAAGCCTTTAGGTCACTGTTTATCTTCATACATGTGTTCCTTGTTCACCTTTCTATCTACTATAGAATAGCTGCTGACTGGGAATAATACTTAACAGGGTAGCAACATGAATGTTTATGTTTCCTGTACTGTTGTTTGTGATTGAGTTAGAACATGTATGTCCTCATATTCTCGCGTTGCTGTCTAAAAACTGTTTACATGGAAATAACTGAAGAGCAGTGGTTTTATTTCCCTGTATGTGTGTGTGTGTGTGTGTGTGTGTGTGTGTGTGTATGCGCACGGTTTGTTGCCGATGTTTTTAATGGTTTATTTGCAGGACAAGCCCGAGCCTCCTCCAGAAAGGTTGTCTTCCTGACTCCACCCAAGGTACTATTGTGTAGCGTCTTTTATATCAACACAGCCACATAACTTCTATTTGATAAACATGGTTGATTGTGCTGTTATTTTTGGCACCAGTTAAGTGACAGAATGCTTGTAGAAGGTGTTAGCATATCATCGTTTAGGCATTTCGCAATTCATAGTGGTGTCCAAGTGTGTTAATTATGTAACCATGTTGTAGTTGGCATAGTTTTTGAGAGAACACAATTAAACTTGTTGAGTAATTATTTGATTTTTTTGATAGTCCAAATCGAATTCCATAACTTGCATGATTCTCTAAGTTTGGGTGTACCTACAAAATTCTTAAATTCTGTCTCGGTCTATGTGATGCATCCTATCAATGCTAGACCATTCCCTTATTTGCGCTGCTTCTATAGGCATGGTTTAACGGAGCATGCTTGTCTGTATTTTATTCTGTGGATTTTATGGTGTGTACATTGGATTTTACTAGGCTGACATGATGAACTTACTGTTGTATAAGGATCTGACCATCTTAGTTAGGTGTTCTCCACCCAGATTGGTTTGAGTGACAAGGACATTGATACTCTTTCTGGTGGTCACACCCTGGTATGTCCAACTGATCAGTTGTCCACCAGTTTGGTGAGATTGATGTTCATATTTGTTATAGATAAAGTGCTGAAAGTGTTAAACACCCATTTAACTTTTGTGCATAGGTGTGCATGTCTTATGTTTGGCGCCAAGTTCGTACGCTTACTACCGCTAGAAAGAATGCTCACAAAGCTTCCAGAATAATGCTATATTATGCTGCGAGAAGCACAAGTTCCTCTTTTATCATGTCTGTTATCCATTTCTTTTGCTCGAGGAGCCAACCGTGCTGACAAAATGGTAGAAGGTATGAATCTGAATTTCTTAGTTCTGTATACATACAGAAAACTACATTGTTCATGACATCATTACATTTCTTTGTTGCACATTGAACTATTAACGGTACCTTCTTCTTTGAGTATAAATTATATTGAGGAAGTTCTAAGTACTAAATTGGTAATAGTTTCTTTGTGTACTTGCTCTAGACAGGCTCTCTTTTATTGATGTTTTTCCAATATAGAGTTCCATTCAATTTTGATCTCCTACGAGAGTATGCTATTTTGAACTGAAATGGTGAAACCACAAGTCGACATAATCTAATTTTAGGTAAATGACGATGAGGACATTTTCTACCATGTACGGGTGATACACGTGTTTCCAGTGTAGGGTTTAATTTAATTTAGTCCTTTTGATCACCCGTGATCACCCATGCTGAATATTGAATGAGTCAACTGGGAGGAGTTTAAGCCACGCTAAACTGAAATCATAATTAAACATAAGCACTTTTGAGTTAAATGGCAGAGAGGGCCCTGTTCTACCATGTAAATTAAATTCCATATTTGCGCATGCTATACCTCGTTTGCAATATCTGTTTACTATCCATGATACTAATCGAAAGTGTATTTACTATTTTTGCACCAATCATGATTGGTGTTACATAACCACGTGATGATAGCGCAAAAGCCGAATAAGTGCTTATTTACGTATTGTGATCACCGTCGGAGCCACTCAGGCTTGCAAACAGTGATCTACACGCCAATTGTTGCATCATGCTAGGAACCAACAAGAGAGCCACCGTAACAACCAACTGGTCCGAGTTCCGCCGCCTTGCAAAAATCCATGAAGGAGACATCTGTGCAATCAGTGTAGATTATTTGTTTACAGTGCTTGCTTTGTGGTGACCTTGAAACTCGGACCAGAAGGTTTATAGTGCAGATTATTTGTTTACAGTGCTTGCTTGGTTCAGTCGCTTGTAATCAGTGTACATGCATGTGACTTGCCCCTGTTAGCTTTTCTTTTTGCAGATTAAACCATATTGGATAACAATATAACAATATATGATATCTTCATCTGCGAAGAAAGGATACTCACATGATAAATTAGAAGATAGTTGTCCAAACATGAATAAGGAATGCAAAGATGGCAAAAGAGAGCAAAGAGTTGCATATTTCCATCCACATGTAGCCACTGGTTTGGGAAAGAAGAGGGGAAGTGGGAGGGAAATAGATCAGGAGGAAGAGGGGATTACAGTGCTTGCTTTGTTTAATCGCCCGTAATCAGTGTACATGCATGTGACTTATCCCTGTTAGCTTTTCTTTTTGCAGATTAAACAAGTAATCTATATTAGTCGAATTGAGGGTATGCTGGATGTGATATGTAATGAAGATGGTCATTATTGCCCGTTCAGAGTACACATGTGGTAGCCCCTGAGGTCTCCTCCTTGCTCGGCTTGAGAGTACACAAGTGGTTTCCCCTGAGGTATCCTTCTTGCTCGGCTTGTTCATTAAGTAAGATTTTGATTGTCTCAATTTGTCGCTTCAGTTCCACAAAAAACATGAATTGTTGTGTGTAATTGTTTAATTCGAACATGTTCAAGATGATGTTTTTAGTACTCTCAAGGGGAAACTTTGTATTTTCAACCTAGCTATTTTCTCAAGCCTTCTGCCTGCTCTTGCTGGGTTATTGAAAAGCAAAACTGAAAGGTAGTATACCTTATAGCAACACCGATGCACATGTAGCCATGCATGCCCAAGAGGATGCCAATGCATACTATATATTCTTGCAAATGTATAATATTGAAATAGAATATCATCTTATGTTTTCCAGACCCATATACTTACCCTGCAATATGTGAATGAATGCTCATATTGGCATCCTACTATAGAAAATATATAGTTAGCAACAACTATCTTATAAACATTTTTAGACCTGTTATTAATTCAACATTGTCAGCTAGCTCACCCATTGGAGTAGATCTTCAAGCAGCTGTGTGTTGCTAAGAGAGATGCTGTAAAAACTTTTGCTACAAGCCTACAAGGAACTCGGTGCGAGGTGGCAAGTCGGCCACAAACTTATGTTTTGCCGAAATAGTGTTGCCCTGATACGAACTGCATAATTACTGCATTCATCAATAGCATATTTACTCTACTAGAACCTAATGCTCATATCCCGTTAAGTTAATGAGTATAAATCAACTAGGTTTTAGTGTGCTGTGAATTTTTCGAAGATGGATATTATATGGATGGTGTGGTTGAGTTTGCTTGGTTACTGGAATGCCATGCATGTGCATATCGGTGGGTGAAAGGTTGTGAGACCATCAAGATGGATTCGCTATTGCCATTATTTCAGTTTGTAGCTTTTGGGTAGAGGATTTGATTCCAGCAAGACAGAGACGATGACTATGCCAACTGAGGTTCATGTTAAGGAGTATTAGCAGATGCTCACAGGATCACTCGAAGCACATAAAGGTATCCACAAGGATGGTTGCTTTCTTATCGACTCATAATTGAATTAGTTATAGACAGTAAGAGTAGTAGTCTACATTTTTTTGAAAACATAGCGTACCTTTGTGATCGCAGCTGTATGCAATGATCCATCATGTATTTTTTTTAAACTGCAACCCATAATTGTTTGATGTGCTGAAATGTCTATGTTATTTTTTACATTCTTTGATTGGGAGGTAACTTGCACTACTATGAACATCTCATTCGTGGTGTGACTGTAGCACATTTTGCATCAGAAAACAACTATTTTCTTGATTTACATGTATGTCATTGCTTAACACAGGCATAATAGAAAAACTTGGTCTAAGTTTATCCACAAGGAGGGAGGCAGAGCAGAGACAAACGACACATTCCGTCATGCATGTGTGTGGATTTGTATCATCCTACTACTGTCTCGCTTTGTTTTACAGTAATAAATAAAGAGATGAATCAGATTTTCTTTGGTCCGTTAGCAAAATTTTACACATCAAGTATTTTATCTCAGATCTTGTATTTTGGTTTGGTATATGAGCTTTTGGCCCATAGACTAACATGTCCCTTAACCTGTCTGCTTGGTAATACTTTTCTGTATCAGCAAGTAGTTACGGGTTGAACAACCAATTACTGATTACGCCTTATCTCAATGCATACAACTTTCTATGAGTACCTGGTTTGCTGCAGCCCTTTGCGCGGGGGCTAGGAGAGGGAGGACAGTCCTCAGCCCCTCAAGTTGAAAAATCAAAACAACACCCTTTAGAGTTAGTAAACATGGTGGCTGATCTATTTGCTGTCTTGAGAGTACCTATGGCTACAAGCATATAACTTTTTTATTGCATTCCCCAATATTTCGATACATATTTTGTTCATTTTGTATTCATACCTTTATTAGTGTCCAATAGGAAGGAAGATGCATGAACACATCATGTCTCCAACCGGCTTAGATCATAGGAAACTATGGCACAATGCACTGCAGAATTTTCTTATTAGAGCTCACTGAAAACACATGTTCTCACCTACGGTAATGCGTTTTGGTTACACTAGGAATTATTTCATTATTGAAAGCTTTCATGTGCATATATGGTCGTAAGGGGATGTGTATTTATTTATCTTCTAGCTTCATTCATTGTATTGGTTTATTTGTTTTGCACAGAAACCCATCAATGGTATGCTTTGATGGGGCTTATTTAATACAGTACAAGCAAAATTGGAAGTAGTAGCAAATCAGCCATGAAAATTTTGAGAGAACTATGCAAACCACAAGAAATGACATGCTCTCGTCAGTTTGCCATGATCTTGTGGCCCAGTTCCAAGACTATGGACTAATGTTAGCTACTATGGGTTTCAAGCTTAATTCTACTTTTCTCTTGGTCAGAACTTAGTCTCCCAACAATAAATAGTATTCGGCCTTCTTACATGTGCTGCTTCATTTTGATCCTAAAATCCAGTTCCACCCCCTTCTATCCAATACCGCGGAGAGCTTGAGAAGTACTGTCACTGGGGCAATGAAGTGAAGCTCTATCGACACGATGCAAACAAAGCTCTCAAGCACATGAAGAGCATCGACAGTAAAGTGCTGCGGGACATAAGCTACGACAAGATGCAGCTACTCCAACAAAAGTGTGAAACTCTTAAGCATCAGCAGAAAGAAAAGGACAACCTAATAGACTATTTTAGCAACAGCTGGAGCCATAGCCTCAGTGGAGATCACATGGCAGCAAAGGAGCTTTACCGTATAATAGATAGCAACTTCACGGCTGGATCAACATGCAAAGACAATGATCTGAATCATATATTGTCGCAGGTAAGATATGTTGCTGATTGTCTCACTAATACAGCCACGCAATCAGAGTATGAACTCCAACAAACAAACAAGTACTACTAGAGCCTGGATGATGATGTTAAAGGAATTTCTGTTATGAAAAATGAAAACATTCAACCCCAGCCACTATGAACAATTGCAGCACCGATGGTCCACCAAGCATAAATCCCATGAGATGAATCTCTCCCTGTCTATCTTCCTTCCTAATAGCATCGTAAATATTCTATCGTAAGCTTCTTAGAACACTATGTATGATGAATAATCCATGTGTACCAATCTGCCCCAAAATATATTTAAGTTCACTCTTTCCATACTTGGCTTACTCTCGCCCCTTGCGCCATCGGCCATCGGCGCAACGGGTCATCTAGTTTAGGTAAAACTAAGTAGTTGTGGCAGCTTTGGATGAGACAACCCAATTCCTGGTAAATTGGACATCATCAATGAGTTTGTCGAGTTTGATTGAACTCTCACACTTTGAACATGCTCTATTTAAAGCAAGGCCATTCCTGTCATAACAGATACAGTAAAATGCCAACACATATATGATTGATGTTATGACAATATACTTGACTTTGGGGGTGACGAGATCGACGGAAGCAACAGGAGCCCACAACTCTTGAGTTTAACGGCGTCTACATGCCCTGCATGTAGTTGTGCACCTCCTCCTCCTGTTTTCTTGCATGTGATCAATGGTTTCAAATCTCTATTTATCACGGATTAGAATATATATTATGTAACAATGCTTTCCTACATTTGGTGGATTATTGCATTTGTATTTTTTTATTGTTATCATCTAGAAGATTAGTTCTGTATGAATGCGTTTACAATGCTTCTCAGGACGTTCCCGCTGATGCTGTTGTTCATGTCGTCCCCCCAGTGCCTAGCATCACCGGCAACAAGTTCATCGCTGTTTGAGAAGGTGCCCTGCAGGGACAACCTGACACGGCCATTGCTCACCCATGTTCGAATCTGAATCGCAGAGGAGAAGGCACGCATCATGCAGTGCGAGAAGACTAGAAGACGGACAACCTCCGTCAACCTGTCATCGAACTTCAGTATGCGTGCTTTGTTCTCTGAAACTGAATTCAGACCTTGAGTACTACTTTTATTTGAAAGGAAATATGTGCGTGATTCCACCAACTTATGCCAAAATGCATAACATAGCTTGGTATACACGAATTGCAATCTGAACGTTTTTCTCTGTGTCGTCGTCCTACTTTCTGGTTCTTTGTTATCTGTCATCTTGTATCTCTGAATTGTTGTTGGCTGCATGCGCAGCTGCTTGAGGCAGGAGCAGTGACTAGCATTGACCAGTAGGAGCAAGAAGCAGCGACAGCTACCATTGCTGGCTGAGCTAGCTGCTAGGTTGCCTCTCTCTTTCCCTCGTATATGTGGGTTTGCAACAACCAAAAGTACCCTCGCGATTCTTTATTTTCACTAACAATCCATATTTGGATGCCTTCTTTCTACCCAGCTTCGGTTACTTGCGACGGGTTGTGGGCTGCAAGTTAGAAGAATCGATGCTGAAAACGTCTTCTGAATGTTAAAAAGCCAATGGGGGTAGAAAGCTATGGAGATAATTG